ACTTTTTTTATAATGCAAAATTTTAAGCAATATTAATATTGCGCAATTAAATCTCGCTAATTGAATTAATTTAATTTACTTAATATAATTTAATTTTTAAAATGGATGTATAAAGCTCTGTTAGAAATTCACGAATAGTACAGGCTAATTGAGAACCAGGTGTGGTAAACGGTGCGCAAAAACATTTTATTCACTTAATATTAATTTATGCAAATTAATGTAGAATGAAAATAAGTGTATACCTCTGATACTCGTAAATAATTGTATATATCGGCCCTGTATTCGTCTACATCAAAGAAACTAGTTCTTAATTCTTTATTGCATTCCCTTCTGGTTCTATACTCATCATTGGAAGAACTGCTATATGTGAGGGACTTCTCCAATGACATTCCCACAGACATGGGGCTGTCCTTCGATAAGACATCATCCTGCTTATTCGGACAGACTTCTTCGATCTTACTACAAAATACGTAAGTAGATGTGCTGTCTGCAGTGCGTATTTCTAATCTCGGCTGTTCTCTGTCGAGCTTTGCGGTTGTCTCTTGCACAGCCTTCACCTCTTTCTTCTCCTTCGAGTGCCTAAGCGCGACAGACGTCTCTTTATCCAATTTATCCTCATAAATCTCGAAGGCTGGTTCCTCCTTCTTGTACAAGTTCTCCTCATAAATTTTAAAGGGCTCAGGTTGCGTGGATATAAATGTTTTTGCCTTGATATATTTCTCATCTTTGTAAATCTCCTGTTAAAAGAGAAAGACTGTGAAAAACTCCAAAACAATAATCAACTGCATACTAAATTAAACCATAGTAAGAGGCTAATTTAACTAGCATTTTTCTTTTTTTTTCTAATAAATAACTTTCTCTGAGGCTTTCCATCTAGAAAGGAAAGAAAGGCCAGATAAGGTTCTTTACAGACGTGCAAAGCCACGCATTTTCAGGTTCAAACTTCATAAGGGCAGAGCGCAGAGCGCACACGGGGCATAGAAAGTCATCGCTTTGGGGCTGCGTTCGAAAACTTCACTCGGGTGCACACCAACGTCGTTCTGTCCTTGTTCAACTTTTAGTGAATAACAAAGATAGAACGACGCGGTGTGCATTCGAGTAAAGTTTTCGAACGCAGCCTTGCACAAGTACAAAGCTGCTCAAGTGTTTAGGGGTTAATCTCCGCGAAGAACCACAGCAAAGAAATTTGAAACTCTTTTAGAGGAAAATAATTCCTTATGAAAATTACGAATTATAAATCTCCGTAGGTCTTCGATATCGATCTCAATTTATCTACGCTCTCTCGCATCGAGGGATGAATTCTTTCGGAAATCCAAAGGCGCGAACGGCACGGTTCGACAACGTGCCCCGCGCGGCAACGTGTGACTCGCGATGCCGATCGCCGTTTCGCTGGCGGACAAAAGCGAGAGCGACGAGGGAAGAAAGAAACGAGCTCTACGTACGGACTTCGTCCCGTTCCGTGGACAATTGTTGTGCAGGACACCGAGGACGGCGCGCTTCTGGTGCACTTGCGTCTGTGCGCTCGCTGCGGCGGCGGCGAGGTTCTCCTTGCCGCGGCCGCGCAGGTCGGCGGTGATGCGGTTCTCCTGATCCTCCTGGTGTATCCTGATCGTGGCCATTATCGTCGTGGCTCTCGCGACGACGGGTAACCCTCTTCACGCGCGGAGGAAAATCAATCGAAGACGTCTCGACAACGTCGACGTGTGTAATCCTCGGACTAGGGGGGGAGGAGGGGGGAAGACTTCTTCGCCGCCGGGACGAAACACCGGGTGAGGATAGTGAAAAAAAACCTGGTCCACCGACCAAACAACGGCGCGGGCTCGCGTGTGCGTGTCCGTCCCGGGTCTCTCCGCGTGCCGCGACGAAACGTTGATGCCCCCGGTCGCTCCTACGGCTACAACCGGCAGTGCATGGCCAGGGGGACGTGCGGGAGATCGGGCGCACTCGGCAACCAACGGGCCACGGTTGCCGTTTGATTTCAAACAAACGTAACACCAACAGCTGGCGGAACGTTATCGGGAGCGTTGCGCGAAATCGGCCAATGGCAAGCGTGGGAAACGCGCCGGCCAATCGCGACGTCGCCCGCCGGTCCGGCGCGTTCGCAAACGCGTCCCGTCGCGCGCCCGACCTCGAACGGACGAATCCCGCGCGAGTATTTACGGCCGGTTCTCATTCGGGCTTCGGGAGACCCGATTTTTGAATTCATTCGCAAGCTAAACGTGTCCGTAGAATATTCGTTTTTACGAAAATTCTACAAGTTGATTGGCTAAAAGTCATACGATAGTCAATTAATTTGCAATTTTTCTGTAAGCAGAATTTGCGCGTATGTTTCTCTTGCGAATAAATTCAAAAATCGAGGAAAGAACGTTATAACTATTAGAATTAGTGAGATTAAAGTTTATAGACTTGTAAGACTACGATAAGTTTCAGTTAAAGGTCACGTTTTATAATATATTGTATAGTTTACATTTTTTTTTATAAAATATGTAATATAAATATATATATAAAATGTACATTTAATCAGATTTAAAATTTGTATTTAAAATAATATTACAATTCTTTCGTTCTTTCTGTATCCTTTATGTCTTTATTTGAACTAGGTGTTAAGTTTTGGCACTTAAATCTTATTGGAAAATGTAATTATCCAGGAATTAGAATCAACAGAGCCATGGATGACGGACGAAATTTGTAAAAAAAGGGATTAAATTCTAACTATATAACGAATTATATAGTTAGAAATTTGGCTTCAGATGAAATTAATCAAAGTTCGGTCACAATCAGCGAATCAGCAAATTACAGTCGAGATTTTGAAATTCTCTGCTATGATTGGTCGACTCTCCCTTTCTACTGCGCATTCCTTTCACGTGCGAAATTACGAGAAAGGGATGCGTTTGCGAACGCACAAGCGATCTGCGTGCGTCTGCGACCAGTGCGACTACTGCGACCTTCATGTGAAAGCGACGGCAGAGAACAGGTGCGAGTGTGCGAGTAAGTGAAAAAATCGCGATCGTATTTAGATCTCACGTTGCTTCTCACAGAAATTTTTCTCGTCTCGAGGCATCGCGCGTGTATTGTCACATTCGCTCGCGCCGGAACGACACGCGATCCGATTAATCCGATAAATTCTCGCACGCGGAGCGCGACCAACTTCGCGTCGGTGCGATTCGCGCGCGCGTGTCGCGCAGCGCGGTCTCATAACCTCTTGTCGCGGTTCCGGGGGAACATTTTTCTCGATCATCCCGTGGAGAGAACGCTCCGTATCGGAGCCGAGTACGCGCCGCGTCGTCCAAGGAAGAGACTCCGCTCCGAAGAACCAGGAGGAAAGCCGCGGAGGAAATGAGCCCGCTGAACAGGGGACCCCTTATGGGGCCCAGATTGCCGCCGGCCGGCGCGCGTCAGCTTCCGCCGCCTAGGTTCGTGGGTAGAATAACGCCGCACGGCATGCCGCCGCGGATGCCGCCGCTGCCGCCGTTGAATCCAATGTTCGGGCCGCGGCAGAGGCTGCCGCTGCCACCGAGGCCCGCCGGCGGCGTATCCCGGCCCAACGGCATGCTGCCGCGGTTCCCGGCCGGTCCCCGATCGCGCGGCATGGCGCCCATCGTGCCGTCGATGGGACCGCGTGGCTCCGGCCCGCCGCGCGGCCCTCCCATGCGACCGTGGCCCCGACGGATGCCGTTGCCGCCGCCGCCGTTGCCGCTGCAGATGGTACCGCCCATGAGGCCCAGGTACAACGCGGGCAATGGGAATGCCAAGGCCAAGACGATGGGTAACGCGAAAAAGGTCAAGGTCGAAGTACGTACTCCTTTCTGGTTTCTTCGCCGCATTGTTCAAGTTGCTTTCGTCCTTGAATCGCATTAGTCTTGGCAGAAATCTTAAAAGAGCTCTCTGTTCATTTGAATATTTGATTCGACTA